TTTTTTTTATTTCTGGACAATATCCAGTTTTTTTTCTTATAAATGTCCGACTTTAATCTGAGACGATGTTCATGCGTCCGTCTTCTTTCATCTTAATTTCTAATCTTTATCTTTGACAGAAAGCTGAATATCTTTGGATTCAACACGATCAGATGCAAACAGGTCGATTTTTTTTTGAGCAGCACAAACAGGAAAAACATTCAGAACCGATGTCCTCTGATGTCTCCAGTCCAGAACCTGAACATAATCGGTTTCGATAGACAGAAAGTTTCAGAGGAAAAGCAGAGGACGACATCTGCTCCTTAAACTACTTCACAGAAACTGTTTTAAGTTTATTAAAACAAAAGCTCATCAGGAAGATGGCGGCGGGTCAGACCTTGTCGTCGGTGACGCACTGGATCTCCAGCTTGTCGCCCAGATGTGGAGCCAGAACGCCGTGAACCTCCTCAACCTGAACAACACAAAGGTTCAGAGGCTGAATCCAGAGTGAAGCTCGGACCAGACGGAGCTCCTGAAGCACAGAACCTGCAGCTTCTACATCCCCCGTCAGAAAAAAGCTCAAATACAAACTGTTCACAATCTGCTGATTATTTTGACACCAGTCAACGTATTTAAAACAAACAGAAGACAAACTTATTTCTGCTCTTAACGAATGAAAAGTCGGACTTTCTAGATTTAATTAAGTCAGTTTAGCAGCAACATCTCTACAGAGTTTGGTTGGTTATGTTTAGTTATGAAGCACATTTCTACAAAAAGTAAAAAAAAAAATTTTAAAAAAAAGGCTAAAGTTAGCATTTTTCATTAAAGACTGTAGCATTGTAATTAGCTTTCTCTATGACTTTAGCTGCATACTTAGATTATTTTTATGACTAAAGCTGTCTAGTTGGCTTCTTCTTATGACTTTAGCTGCGTAGCTAGCTTTTTTCTATGACCTTATCTATGTAGTTAGATTACTTCTGTGACTTTACATGTGAAGTTAGCTTCTTTTTATGACTTTAGCTTCATAGTTAGCTTTGTTTTCTGACTTTAGCTGTCTAGTTAGCTTCTTTGTATTACTTTAGCTGCGTAGTTAGCTTCTTTTTTTATGACTTTAGCTGGGTATTTAGCTTCTTTTTATGACTTTAGCTGTCTAGTTAGCTTCTTTTTATGACTTTAGTTGCATAGTTAGCTTCTTTTTATGACTTTAGCTACAGAGTGAGCTTCTTTTCAATGACTTTAGCTGTCTAGTTAGCTTCTTTTTTTCTGACTTTAGCTGGGTATTTAGCTTCTTTTTATGACTTTAGCTGTCTAGTTAGCTTCTTTTTATGACTTTAGTTGCGTAGTTAGCTTCTTTTTATGACTTTAGCTGTCTAGTTAGCTTCTTTGGACTTTAGCTGCATAGCTAGCTTCTTTTTTTATGACTTTAGCTGCGTAGTTAGCTTCTTTCTATGACTTACCTGCAAAGTTAGCTTCTTTTTATGACTTTAGTTGCGTAGTTAGCTTCTTCTTATGACTTTAGCTGCCGAGTGAGCTTCTTTTCAATGACTTTAGCTGTCTAGTTAGCTTCTTTGGACCTTAGCTGTGTAGTTAGCTTCTTTTTTATGACTTTAGCTGCATAGTTAGCTTTTTTTATTACTTTAGCTGTCTAGTTAGCTTCTTTGGACTTTAGCTGTGCAGTTAGCTTCTTTTTATGACCTTAGCTTACTTGTGTGACTTTAGCTGCTTTGTTAGCATCATTTATGACTTTAGCGGTGTAGGGTTTTGTTTTTCTTTTCTTTTCTGACCTTAGCTTACTTGTTTGACTTAAGCTGCATAGTTAGCATTTTTCAGCGACTTTAGCTGCCTTGTTAGCCTTGGTTTTTTTTTTTATGACATTAGCTGTGTAATTAACTATCTCTATTCTGACTTTAGCTTTGTAGTTAGCATCTCTCTATAACTTTAGCTGCATAGTTAGCTTCCCTCTGTACTGTTATCTGGTATAAGTTGGTATATTTAAAACTGAAGTATGTATTTTAATGAAAGAAAAACACATTCTTATCTTATCCACTCATAAACAGTGAAACTTGTAGAGAAAACAGGTGAAAATAGATCTAATGAGCTTCATTTCATGGTCAAAGTGAGCGGCGGTTGTTGCCTTGTAGGGTCGATCACAGGACGGAGTGATTCCAGCGTCATCCAGCAACCTGCAGCACACATTAAATCAAACTTCACTGACGTCTTTTTCCGTGCAGCGATTCATTTCTCAGCATTTTCAAATGAATGTGAGTCCATGTAACGACTCTGCACTGAGCAACATGATTAATCTGACCGGTGGATGTCGAACTGGTGTCTCAGCTTGAGGCAGATCTGGAAATATCTCAGCGGAGAGTTCAGTCCTTCCACACAGGCTGCACACGCTCCATGTTTCCTCCATTCTTCTCTCCTGGCAACACGCAAACATACAAAACACGGACCTGTACACGCTTCCAGAACAACATGCTCCCATAAAGCAACTATGATTCAAAGAAGGTCTGACCACCACATCAAATGGCATTAAGAAAAAAAAGGAGGCAGTTATGAAAATATGCTAGCCACGAGTTAGCCATGTTTCTGTGAGTTTATCTCTGCATTTAGCTTCTTTCTATGCATTTAGCTATGTGGTTAGCTTCAATCTATGACTTTAGCTACATAGTTAGCTTCTTCCTATGATATTTAGCAGTGCATTTAGCGTCCTTCTGTGACTCTAGCAGTGTAGCTAGCTTCCTTCTCTGACTTTAACTGTGTGGTTAGCTTCAATCTATGACTTTAGCTGTGCAGTTAGCTTCTTTTCATCATTGTAGCTGAGCAGTTAGCTGTAAATCTATGATTTTAGCTACATAGCTTCTTCTTACGATATTTAGCTTTGCATTTAGCTTCCTTCTCTGACTTTAATTGTGTAGTTAGCTTCTTTCTAAGTTTCTAGCTGTGCAGTTAGCTTCCTTCTGCGACTTTAGCTGTGTTATTAGCTTATTTTTATGGTGGTGGTGGTGTGTAATTAGCTTCTTTCTTAGCTTCTGATTAGCTTCCTTCTGTGACTTTAGCTATGCATTTGCTTCTTTCCATGACATTAGCTGTGTAGTTAACTTGTTTCTGTGTAATTAGCTGTAAAGTTAGCTTTTCTGTGTAACTTTAATCATATCGTTAGCTATGTTAGCTGTGTAGTTAGCTTCTTTCCGTGAGTTTAGCTATTTAGTTAGCTTTGTTCAGTGACTTTAGCATTGAAGTTAGCTGTTCTTCTATGGCAGAATGCAGTCAGCGGGCTAAACCAGCAACTACACGGGCTAATTACACCTGCTAACATTAGCATGAGCTTTTATCTCACAATCTCCTAAAAGTTAAAGACTAGCAACAAACTCTGTGATGTGAGCACTGCTGCTAGCTGTCCTCTGACCTCCCTCACTGCCACCCATCAGCTGATGTCTGCATTGATTACACTGAGTACCAGAACTGGAAGCTGGACTTGGTCTTCAGGAGGGACGGCCAGTGTTCAGTCAGCTCCGCCTCCAGCTCCTGCAACACAGACGCACCTGTCAGCGCTCACTGATGTGTCTCAGGTAACCAGGTTAGCAGGTGAGCAGGTGAGCAGGTGAGCAGGTGACCAGGTGAGCAGGTGAGCAGGTGACTGGTCCTGACTCACCTGGACGTCTGAGTGGAACATGGGCCAGCAGTCGCAGCAGTCCTTAGACTTGAGAGGCCTGCAGAGAGGAGCAGGACGGAGCAGAGTGAGCTACAGCAGGAAGCCGTGATGCTGCCGACTGTGAACGTCAGGTGTTGTTGTGCAGGTGTTGTTGTGCAGGTGTTGTTGTGCAGGTGTTGCTGTGCAGGTGTTGCGTTACCACAGGCCGTGGATGGTCCAGTTGTTGACGTTCTGAGGAATCCTGCAGAGACTCTCGTTGTTCAGAGACTGACGGAGAGACGAAGGTCAGAATCAGAACCAACATCGTCTGAACAGAATCACACGTTCCTGCTCTGATGGATTTTAGGATGTTCTCCTTTTATCTGCTGCTGATGTGTTCTAGCTCCTTGTTTACTTCCTTACATCTTAGTTCCTCCCTCCTTATTCTCTTCCTTATTCCTCTTTTCCTATCTCCTGATTTACTTCCTTACCTCTCCTTTTCTACCTCCTTATTTGTTTCCTTACTTTCTCTTTCCTACTTCCCCTTTCCTACCTTATGTTTTCTTTCCTACCTCCTTGTTTACCTCCTTACATCTCCTTTCCTACCTCCTTGTTTACCTCCTTACATCTCCTTTCCTACCTTCTTGTTTACCTCCTTACATCTCCTTTCCTACCTCCTTGTTTACTTCCTTACATCTCCTTCCCTACCTCCTTGTTTACCTCCTTACATCTCCTTTCCTACCTCCTTCTTTATCTCCTTGCATCTCCTTTCCTACCTCCTTGTTTATTTCCTTACATCTCCTTTCCTACCTCCTTGTTTACTTCCTTACATCTCCTTTCCTACCTCCTTGTTTACCTCCTTACATCTCTTTTCCTACCTCCTTCTTTATCTCCTTACATCTCCTTTCCTACCTCCTTGTTTATTTCCTTACATCTCCTNCTCCTTGTTTACCTCCTTACATCTCTTTTCCTACCTCCTTCTTTATCTCCTTACATCTCCTTTCCTACCTCCTTGTTTATTTCCTTACATCTCCTGTCCTAACTCCTTCTTTATCTCCTTGCATCTCCTTTCCTACCTCCTTGTTTACTTCCTTGCATCTCCTTTCCTACCTCCTTGTTTACTTCCTTACATCTCCTTTCTTACCTCCTTGTTTACCTCCTTACATCTCCTTTCCTACTTCCTTCTTTATCTCCTTGCATCTCCTTTCCTACCTCCTTGTTTATCTCCTTACATCTCCTTTCCTACCTCCTTCTTTATCTCCTTGCATCTCCTTTCCTACCTCCTTCTTTATCTCCTTACATCTCCTTTCCTACCTCCTTCTTTATCTCCTTACATCTCCTTTCCTACCTCCTTGTTTATTTCCTTACATCTCTTTTCCTACCTTTGCTTTGCTTCCTTATTCCTCCTTTCCTATCTCCTTTTTTACTTCCTTACGTCTTCATTCCTTCTTCCTTTTTGACTTCCTTATACCTCCTTTCCTTCCTCCTTATTTCCTTCTTTACATCTCCTTTCCTACCTCCTCCTTTCCTTCCTTACCTCTCCTTTCCTACCTCCTTATTCGTTTCCTTACATTCCCTTTCCGTCCTTCTCATCTCCTTTCTTATGTTTTCTTTCCTAACTCCTTATTTCCTTTCTTACTCCTCCTTTCCTTCGCTACCTCTCATTTCCTTTCCTACATCCTCACTGGCTTCCTTTGCTCCTTTTTTAATTTAGTCCTTCCTTGGTTTCTTCCTTTTTATCCCCCCTTGATTCCTTCCCTTCCTTTTCTAACTCGTTTTCCTTCCTTCACCTCCTGTTAATTTCCTTCCATATATCCTCATTTGCTTCCTTTCATGCTCCATATTTCCTTCCCTTCCTCCTTGTTTTCATTCCTACATCCTATCTTTCCTGTCCTGTCGCCTCGTTTCCTTCCCTTCTTCCTTTTCTCACTCACTTCCCACCTCGTCTCCTTTTATAATTCCTCATTTCCTTCGCTTCGCCCTTGTTTCCTTCCCTGCAGGAGACAGTGAGGCAGCTAAACTGAACGCACCCCGTTCATAAACGCTATAAACGATGATGTCACCTGACAGAAGCCTCCGGGCCACTGCAGCGTGAACAGGACGCACTTCCAGGTGCAGTGGTGCTCGGCGCCTTGGCGGCCATATTTGTAGTCCTCCCAGTGTCCGTCTGCGACGTCGGGCCGCTGCAGCAGAAGCAGCAGCGCAGGACTGAGAGCGACCAGCAGGGGCAGCAACGAGCAGCACATCTCACCTGCAGCCATCAATCAGGCTGATTACTGATCAGGTAAATATTGATACTTTCAGTACAGGAAGCTGATGTTTACGTGGGATTTTTTTGAATTTAATTTTTTTATGTTTACTTGTAATTAAGTTTTTTACTTCAGTAAACAAAACGACTCAAAGGCGCATAAAATAAACATAACATCATTTTTTTTGTTCTTGAGCATCCTTTAAATGCGAAGGTGCTTCTCAAAAAAAGTAAAAGAAATAAAAATGACGAAGCATTAGAAATAGAAAAAACGAGTAAAAAATAATTTAAAAAAAATATTATTTAAAAGACTTATATATTATATATTAGAAGTAGACAATAAAACAATTAAAAATAACAAAATATAAAAAAATATATATTCAAAAAAAGGACAAAAATGCATCGAATACAGACGATAAAACATAAATAACATCAAACATTTAATCTGGACAATAAAACATTTAAAATGGTATTAAAAATGTTTTTCTTAAAGTCAGTTAAATAATAAAACATTAATAAAATAAAACAAAATAAAATAAAGACAATTAAACAATAAAAAACAAACCGTAATAAATAAACAAAGACAAAACTTAAAGCGCATTAAGACTTTAAAAATAAACAATAAAACATTTAGAAGGAATAAAATATTTTAAAATACAAACATTTAGAACAAAAGACAATAAAACAAAAAAGAAAAATCAAGTAGGATAATAAATAATGTTTTCAAATTGTAGTAAAATAAAAATGATAAAAACAACGAAACATTAAAAATAGACAATATGACGTTAAGAAAACCACAAAACAATAAAAAAAGGGAAAAACTTTTAAAAAAAATATTTTTTAAAAGACAATAAAACATTTAAAGGGTTTATTAATATATAGAGTAGTTAAATAGTTAGAAATAAAATACTATAGTTCCGTATATTTCTGGTGTAATAGAATAAATCTGGATCTATAATAATAATAATCTGAATTAAATCTAATGGAAATAAAATGAAAGTCAAATGAACCTGTGACCAGTCTGACATCACAGACTTTACATTCAGAGCTTCATGCATTCACCAGCAGTGGTTGGTTTCCTTTGACTCTGATGTTCTGACCCTATCAGAGCTCCCGGGCCTCGGGGTGGTTCTGTTCGGACCGGGCTCTTTGCATGTGCGGCTTTAGATTGAACATAAATCAAACTCACCGGTCGGCTGCAGCTGCTGCTCTGAGCCCCGTCGAGGCGTCGCTCTGGTCCTGAGCAGAAAAACAGGAAGTGAAAGCTGCGATTGTTCCAGTTTGTCGTCAGAGTTCAGAGGAAACACGCTGAGCTGCTGCTTCCTCCACCTGCCAGGTGCTCAACTCCACTTCTGCTTTCAGTGGAGCGACTGGTTTCATTCTGCTGCTGGTCCATCACGGAGCCCGTCGGTCAGGACGGGTCACTCAGAGATGGTCCCTGAGAACCTCCAGGTCAGATCCAGAACCAGAACCTTCAGCATCAGCAGAACCCGACAGGCCGAACACACACGTAGTCCATGTGTTTGATACGCAGCACATTTTAATTAATGCATCTGAAACATCTGAAACCCTCAGAACACAGTTTGTAGAGTTTGAAGGACGTCAGTGGAGCAAAGCTCAAAAAGACCTCCTCATTTCCCTCTGATGGATGGATGGATTGATTGATTGATTGATTGATTGATTGATTGATTGATTGATTGATTTGATTTGATTTTCCTTTTGTTTAATGCTAATATGTTTTAGCTCCTTATTTCCTTCCTTATTTCCTTTCCTACCTCCTTATTAACTTTCTTATTTCTCCTTTTTAACCTCCTTGTCTATGTCCTTGTTTCCTTTCCTACCTCCTCATTTCTTTCCTTACACGTCCTTTCCTACCTCCTTATTTCTTTCCTCACGTCCTTTCCTACCTCCTTATTCTCTTCCATATTCCTCCTTTCCTCCTTTCTTTTTTATTTTCTTGTTTCTCCTTTTTAACCTCCTTGTCTATGTCTTTGTTTCCTTTCCAACCTTCTCATTTCCTTCCTTGCATGTCCTTTCCTTCCTCCTTATTTCCTTCCTTGCATTTCCTTTCCTACCTCCTTATTTCCTTCCTTACCTCTCCCTTCCTACCTCCTTATTTCCTTCCTTAACTCTCTTTCCTACCTCCTCATTTCCTTCCTTACATCTTCTTTCCTACCTCCTTATTCTCTTCCTTATTCCTTCTTTCCTACCTCCTTTTTTACTTTCTTATTTCTCCTTTCTAGCGTCCTTGTCTATGTCCTTGTTTCCTTTCCTGCCTCCTCATTTCCTTCCTTACCTCTCCCTTCCTACCTCCTTATTCGTTTCCTTACATTTCCTTTCTGTCCTTCTCATCTCCTTTCTTATGTTTTCTTTCTTTCCTCCTTATTTCCTTTCTTACTCCTCCTTTCCTTCACTACCTCTCATTTCCTTTCCTACATCCACACTGGCTTCCTTTGCTCCTTCTTTCATTTCTTCCTTTTAATCCCAGACTTTATCTTGTGAGTTGTCCTTTCCAGCACATATAATCACAGTGGATCTGGTGTGACATCAGTGTTTCTGTGAGCAGCAGCAGCGTCTGTTTGACTTTCCTGCTGACGGTTTGGCCTCTGCAGCGGATCGTAGTTTGGCTTCGATTCAACAGCTCTGATAGCGTCTCAGCGAGTCCTGCAGCGAGTCCGAGTGCGTGTCCTTGTCAGGGCGAAGCGATCGACATGAACCACCTGCTGGTAAATACTCCGAGCTTCTCTTCATCCACCTGCTTTCTGTGTTTCTGAGGCTTGTGTGCAGTTTGAGGCGAGGACGGCCGAGGTGAAGGCAGGACGGTGAAGGCAGGACGGTGAAGGCAGGACGGTGAAGGCAGGACGGTGAAGGCAGGACGGTGAAGGCAGGACGGTGAAGGCAGGACGGTGGAGCCCGACGCTGACAGGCCTGAACTCTGAGCCTCACCGACACACAAGCTGCTGCTGCTGCTGCTGCTGCTGCTGCTGCTGCATGACTCTGACTTATTCTGGCTTATTCTCACTTATTCTGACTTATTCTGCTCCTGTCCAGGACTTTTTGCAGGATTTTTCACGTCTGATTTAATGTTTTAATGCTGCTCAACTGCTGCTTTTCCTTCTTCCGCCTCCGTTAATCATCACACGCTGACAAAACAAAGTCCACCGAGTCGCTTCGTGACTTTTCTTCTGTGCCGCGGTTAAAAAAAGTTTTAATGTAAAATACACAAAATAAAACTAACTTGTGCAGAAGTGGCAGCTTAAAGAGTTAGTCAGTGTGTTTACGTCCAACTAGACTAACAATTTAATGTATTTTTGCACTGAAATGTGCCTCAGTGTCACATTTCAACTCTCAGAAACACAATCGTGTGTTTGCATTCACAACAACATTCACCAGGATCCTGTTCGTCAATGTGTCCAAAAGTATTCGGACGCATTTATTATCTACTGTGAGGATTTTGATGCATTTGTTCATGTGTCTGTCCACATACTTTTGAACTCATCAGGTTTTTAGTGTTTTAAAGATTGTATTTTAAACAGATTTCTTTCTGTTGAAGCTGAGACTTTACCGCCGTTTCCATTGCTGTGTAACTGTGCTATACGGTGGACTTCATGCTCCACACAAACATAAGAGTTTAGGTTTCACCTCACAGACACCAGCAGCATTTCCTCCTCCCTCTCCGCCTCCTGATTGGCTCCAGTGTCTGGTTCGGAGGCTGTGATTGGCCCCCAGTGCCGTCGGTCCCGCCCCCGGCCACCCGACGTGACCTTGGTACTCGGTTAAACAGTCATGCAGCTTTTCTTAAAGCGACACGCTGCTGCTGCTGAAAGGTCACAACGAGACGAGTTCACGGAGGCTCAGCTGTGAAATCAGAAACCAGAGTGTTTCTGGAGGACGCGGAGGAAGTTTCATTTCCAACAACGAGGCCAAACACACGTTTTAAAGAACATAAACGAGCCATGTGTCTCTGACGTAGCGCTGCACAGATCCTTCGTTTCTCTGTTTTCTATCAGTCAAACTAAAAGCATGTGTTTGAAAATGATTCATGCAAAATTCTTGTACTTATTTATATTTTATGCAAACTGCAGGAACTCACACCGAACTTCAAATCATCATGAAAGAAAAGCGTCTGTGGAGCAGAGTCACCAGATGTTAGTCCGATGTTCTCATGGAGAACACTGATGGAAACAAACAAATGCTGATGAGATGGACGAACCCTCTGAGCTCCAGGCAGCAGCTTCTGGAGGTCGTTCACTCCTCAGACAGCAGGACTCCGTCAAAGGGACACGAATCTCGTCGTTTCTCTGATGATTCAACAAAACGTTCGATTCAAACAACTCAACCGTCGTCCAACAGATTTGTCCAAAACCATTTCAAATTTGACCAAAATGACTCAAACGACTTAATATTTTCCCAGGTGGACTTAAAACATCCAAAATGACAAAAGACTTGTCCGACGCGACTCAAAACCTGATTGTCATGACTCAAACCGTGTCCTACATGAAACTGAAACTAGTAAAAAAAAAAGTGAAAATGTGTCCAAAAAGACTTAAAATATGTCGTAAATAGCTTAAAATATGTAGAAAAGGTTCAAAATATGTAGAAAAGACTCAAAATATGTAGAAAAGACTCAAAATATGCAGAAAAAGACAAAAATAAATTCCCTAAATGACTCTTGTTCCAACAGCTCCTCCCAATCTGCCTGTAAAGACTCCTGTCGTTGATCTTCTTTAATCATAAACTAAACTAAAATGTCTCCTGTGCTGAATGAATCTCATTTAATAAAAAACTGTTGGACTTAAACGACTCAAAACTTGCCCAGATGGACTTAAAACGAGTCCCAAATGACCTGAAACTAGTTTAAAAAAAAGACTCAAAATGTGTCCAGAATAAGTGTGAACCACAAAATTAGTGCCGTGAGTCATCAACTAAACCAGAAACGTCTTCTGTGCAGAGCGACCCGGTTAGAACGACCCGGTTAGAACGACCCGGTTAGAACGACCCAAGTCACAAGAAAAAGAAAAAAAGTTGAATTTCTTCACCTGCAATCAATCGATGTGCCACAAGTTTCCAAAACACAGATTTTTAATAACTTTAAAGCCGTGATTTAGGGTTCGGCATCAGTCCAGAACCTGCTGGGACCGGTTCAGGTGGCCTGATGTACCGCTTCCTGACTGGATCTGACTGGATGGCGTTGACAGCTGTGGAGCATTTTAAGGCCAAACTCCTGAAGTCCTGGTTAATCCCACCGACCCCCAGGAGGTGCTTGTTTCCTCCAGTCTGGATCCTGATGCTGGACCAGAACCGGAGGCACACAGTTGCTCTGGTCTCCGTTTGACTCCCGATGGCGGGTTAGAACTTTCGAATCACGAACCGCAAACCAGCGGAACCACAGCTGGAACCACAGCTGGAACCAGAAAGAGTTTGTTCGTCTTCCTCTGTCTCAGATTTAGCTGTCGCAGCTCCACAGCCTGAAGAATGAACTCCAGTAAATCACGTTCTGGTCCAGTGACACGACAAACCCAGTCACATCCAAAGTCCTGGTCGTCAGCAGAACCGCGGGGGGCAACGTGATCGACGTGAAGAACCGCAACAAACCCAAAAGCGGCGAGACCAAAAAGAAACAGTCGAGTGCACGACGTGGTGGAAGAAGAAAGAGTTCATGGAAACAGATCAGGTCTCGTCCAGTGATTAGAACAAAATCTACCTTCTTACACATGATTACCTCCAGGTCGCAGGTTTCATCCTCGTCTGTCCACAGTCTGATCGTCTGGACCTTTTGAACTCGCTGATGTTTTGTCATAATGACCGTATGAATTCTGGAGTTCTGATGAGAAAGATGTTTCATTAAGCCTCCTGATGTGAGACGTTCCTGATGTGAGACGTTCCTGATGTGAGACGTCATGAGAAAACACAACAACACGTCTTCAGCCTCAGCTGTCGCTGGCACAGAGGAAGAATAATAACAGAACCCACACTGTACGAACCAGCGGGTCTAAAACACGTTATTTACTCAAATCCAAACCATTTCTACAGCACATCTGCTTGACAGCTGGAGATCTCTGCAGTGGATTAGAAACCACCAGCGTGTTCCTGAATGTTCTGCAGGGGTTCAGGAACCAGTAGAACTCTGTCTAAATGGAGGGTTCGAGGGTTGGATGTACTGAGGCTCCACGAGCTCCAAAAGACGAAGAAAACCTGGATTCTCTACGTACATGTCAGTACGTGCAGTACCGGGTTGTTCCACCAGGTGGAGCCTCTCCCTGTTTAATCCTGTAGAGACCAGAGGAGGCGTCACTCAGGCCTCGCTTACACGTAGCAAAAACGCTGATTCTTCACTGTGTTTCCTTTGGTAAACGAAGCTATGAGTCACCGACAACGATCACATCTGAACGTGGAGATTTGGAAAAACTTTCCAGGAGGAGGCGGAGCTTAACGTCACCGTGGTTACAGTTCGGCTGCTGTGATAGACAGTCGGTGTTTTCAAGTGTTTTCCTTGTTTCGAGCAGCTCCACTTCTGTCGGTCCAAACAAACGACCCTTTATCGTTGAAGTAACAGGAAGTAAGTCGGGCCATTCGTTGTTCTGTTTTTTCCAGGACTCTGATTGGCTAGCGTGGCGTTGTGCTTCTCGTCACACTGCCCCCTACAGGTCAGGCAGCTCATAGCAGCAGGTAGCAGCAGGTTTGTGTGAACGAAGATGTTTTTGAAAGCGATCTGGTGCGAACGACGTCATTTTAGAGACTTGTACGTGTAGACGTGGCCTCAGACTACAGGCAGCTCGTGCTGGCAGCAGAGAGCATTGTGGGAGTTTAGCAGCAACACAAGTAAAAATATTCTGTTACCATCCGGTTTGAGGTGATTCACGGCAGATTCAGGCGGCGGTCATGTGGGAGTTTTAAACCTTCACTCTGCTTTGTTTGTGCTTCCAGAGAGTCCCGGTCCAGGCCAGCCGAGCCTTCAGCAGCTCTGCCAGACAGCTGAAGAACAAAGTCCCCGAAGCCCAGAAGCTCTTCCAGGTGAGGAACAGCTCACTGAACTGAGATGTGCTACTGGTCCGGAGCAGGTTCTGGTCAGAGTTTCAGATGTAAACCGGCTGACAGAGCGTCTCCCTTCAACCAGACGGTTTCCTGACTGTGATTTATGAGCGATCCAGACTCTCAGCTGAGGGAATGTGTTTATCTGCTAGCATGCTGAGCTGTGTGTCGCTAACATCACTGAGTGAAGACGTGGAGTTTCATTTCAGCAGCGCGACTACACCAGAAATACATTAAAAGCTCAAGAGGAACCACACGATGAAACGAAAACCACAAGAAAAGGGGATCTACGCTGAAGCCTGTTTCTGTATCGGTTCTGACGGCTGCTGTTTGGGTTGGTTAGTGTTTCCATGTTTTCTGTTCTGACCTCCTGCGGTTTCTGGACGTGATTTTTCTCGTTAACTGCCAAACTCCACAAAGTTCTCACGCTCTTCTGATCTGTACGGCTGAATGGACTCGAACTCTAACTGAGGCCTCGTCCACACGTTGTTCAGCACGTTCGTGTTCTACGTCAGGATGTAAGAACTCCGACGACAGGAGCGACGGCCGGGACGTACAGAAGTCATCACGCCATTCCTCCGTCTCAGAGTTCTCCCACCAGCTGGCTGGGCGTCCCGGTCTGACCCAAGACCGGCGAGGTGGTGGAAGATAGTTAACGTCGTCCTTCGCCTGTGTTCTTGTACGTGGAGCGGTGTCTGGGCCTGGACCAGAGACGACAAGGTTCTGAGGGCGTCCACGCTGTTTCCAAACGTAAACACGGGTCACACATGTGATGTAAGAACATATGTTGCTGCAGGCAGTGACGTTTGGAAACTTCAACCCAGTTATTGACGTCCACATGCAGACGCATGAACAGAGGACCTGATCTTCACTTTGGTCGCAGGTTTTTGAAAGAATCGATTTTAATGCCATAAATCCGCTGTCGTGTGGACGACAGGAAACATCGTTGTTCTGTGAGACACGTGCTACGTGTGGACATCTGGTTCTGTACCTGCAGTAGCCTCGGTTAAACTAAACTTCATACATTTAAACCTGATCTTGTATTGAAGCTCATTCAGGTCTGACTCTGTCTCATCATGCAGGAAATCACTTTAACTTCACTCTGATTGGGCCAAAAGTTAGTGTTACTGACTGAATGTTCTCAGTAACAGAATGATCCATGTTCTGATCCGTTCTATCAGCAGCAGCAGCAGCAGAGGAAACGGACCTCACAGCAGATCAGAACCAAACATAAAAACATATTTATGTGATTCCTGCATCACCAACTAAATACACATCTGGTTCCCATGGCAACGTGATATTTACAGTGTGTGATGCTGTAACTCCACGACTTCACTCGGTGATGTTAGCGACACACAGCTCAGCATGCTAGCAGATAAACACATTCCCTCAGCTGAGAGTCTGGATCGCTCAGAAATAACAGTCAGGAAACCGTCTGGTTGAAGGGAGACGCTCTGTCAGCCACAGCATCAGTTACCATGGAGATCTAGCTTCAAAGCATCGGTTACCATGGAGATCTAGCTCCACAGCATCAGTTACCATGGAGATCTAGCTTCAAAGCATCAGTTACCATGGAGATCTAGCTCCACAGCATCAGTTACCATGGAGATCTAGCGAGAGCCACCTTTATGACACTGAAAACTCTGACTTTAATCTCAACATACCTGATAACCCACTGATCTGGCTTTGTAGTAGTTCCTAGTATAGTCGTAGTAGTACTACTAGTAGTAGTACTAGTAGTAGTAGTAGTAGTAGTATTAGTTTTAACCATGTGGTTTCTATGGTTACAGGCGGACAACAGCTTGCCGGTCCACATCAAGGGAGGAACCGGCGACGTCCTGCTCTACAGGGCCACCATGACGCTGACCATGGCAGGTAACAGCTTTAGGAACACCGCTCGGTTCCTGACGGTACAAAGACACAGAACACACGGCGGCCCTGAAAGAGAGGAACAAACCGGACTGAGACAGAGTGATACCAAACAGGAAGTAAAGCCTGATAGGATCCTGTTAGCTAACTATGTGTAGCTTCCTCAAAAACTAGCGCCTTGTTTCAGTTGTAGCTCCGGACAGGTTTTGTCTTTAAGGACAGTATCCAACACTCTGGTCCTGTCTGACAGGCGTCATGTCGCTTCTTTGTTGAGAAGAAGAAAATATACTTTTCCAGTTAAGACTGACTAAATAAAAAACACAAACAGGCCCCATGGCAGCAAATCAGTGCAACAAAAGTTTACATTTGTTGACAGACTCAGTCCTTCTCAACGTGGAGGATGTAACATTTCTGTCGTTCTTCACGTTTTCCAGCTGTTCTCTGCTGGAGGAGCTTCATCTTTCTCTTTAAAACACCCCAAAGACGTTTCATTGGCTTCAGGTCTGGAGACATACTTGTCCAGGTTCCAGTTTTCTTCATTAGACCCTCAAGTGATTTTGTTCTTTGGACGGTTCTCCTGCTGGAATGTTCCTCTTCTTCCAGCTTCTGCAGACTGGGAGGCCTCTGGTTTTGGTTTCTCCTCAGACATTCATCTACAAACGTCATCAACACCTTCTGCCCTCATGCAGCCCCACGTCATGATGCTGCCACCTCCGTGCTTCACTGTCAGGACCATGCATCCACCGTGGTGGTCCTGGTTCAGGTTCACACCAAACATCTGGACTCCATCGGAGCCCAGCATAGTTATCTTCATCTGACCAGAGGATGTTCTCCAGCATCCATCAGGCTTCTGTTCATGTTCTTCGGGATGTTTTGTGCCAAAGTGTTTTTGTTCTGGTTCTCCGTCCAAAGAGGTTCTGAAGTGTCTGAGCTTCACACTAACTCTGGTCTCCATTGATGAGCCCTGTGCCAAGTCTGAAGCAGCTGTTCACTGTCCGTGGAGTCATTGTAGGAGGACGACCACTGCAGCCCTGATCAGTGCTGCTGTGGCTCCTTCTGGACCTCCTGGTTCCTGCTCACACTGGGCTGCACTGGGTTCTAGCTGCTCACTGATCTTCTGGAGCCTTCTCCATCTTTGTCCAGTCTCTCAGTCAGATGTTTCTCCTCCTCTGTTCAGGTCTTCTCCATGTGGAGCCATGATGCAGTCATAGATAGACACAGTCCAGAGGTCCAGAACTGAGAAGGTTCTGCTGTTTTAGAACCATGTTCATGCAGGTAGACGGATTCTAAACCACAGCTGGACTCACTTTAGTTGTGCTGAGTTTCTACTTTGGGGCCTGAATTTATAAAATGTGTGATTGTGATTGTTCAGAGGAGCAAATAGTTTTGAATAGTTGCTCATTTCCGTTGCATGCTGTTGATCGTCCAAATAAAATAAATTTGACATGAATATTAACAGTCATGTGTCTTCCCTGCAGGAACCTGTTATTCTCTGTACTGGCTGCTCTTCGCCTCGATGCCTCAGAAGAAAGCGTAGAGGAGAAGCAGAGGCCCGGCTCGGTCTATCGCCTGGAGAGCTGGGCTCCGTCTAACACTGATGTTTATTTTTGTGTGTGTGTGATTCTACTTGACGTCCTTGTTTCACGGCAGAAATGTAAAAAAGGAAAACTGTCAAATTAAAGTCCTCCAGAGTGTTCATGCTTCTGTCTGTGGTTTCTCAGGAAATACTTTTTTTTATTCTCCAGTTCTGAGGAAAACGGTTTCCTCCTGTTTTCCAGAGTATTTCTGACTCAGATCGGAGGATTGTTGGCGAATCCCACTCGGCTCGGCTCGGCTCGGGCTGCTGGTGTCGAAACAACCAACAAAGACAAAGTGTTCGGCAGGATCGTCCCGGATCTGGTTCAGTTTAGCGAAGATGCAGGACTTCAGTGTGGAGGCGACGTCCATCAGCTTCTAAAACACCACACAACATTCGCTTCCTTTTTCACTTTTGTGTTTGTTCGGTTAATAAACGAGTTTATTGCAGAAAAGCAACAAAACAAACCGACTTTGTGCATCGAACGACTGAAATGACGAAACTTTGAGCTCAGAGATGAATCGGCTGCAGCGTGTGATGCTGCTTCACATTGAGTTTAGTTTTTACATTAAAAACAGGCGCTAACGAATGCTTTGTTTGGTTTTCACAGTTTTATTTGTTCACATTCACGCTGTTGTTGGATTTCCTGCCCCGTTCTGTGTGTGTTCAGGTTTTTTTGTTGTCAGCTGTGTTGTGACGTCACGTTTGTGAAACTGTTCACTGGACAGAAGAATCTACACGACTGCAGCTTCATCCTACAAGACTTTACAGCTTCTGTTGCAGATTTTATGGATTCATACGTTAAATGTTTTGGTGTTTAATTCATTTTTTTCCCACAAGTCACAAACAAACGTCAAGAAATCAGAATCAAATCAGAATTAAAGCCGCAAGCGGCGATGGACGGGTCCTCGCCCTACGCTTGTCGGCCTTC